GCATACTGTACGGATTACCTTAATTCACAAGCATTATAAGCAAAGATGGATAGTGGCTAGCAGTGAAATCTGGGATGCGTTTTTCATCCTCTTTTAGACTCGTTAGCTCAATGTGCTTGGATCTCAGAGTTGATCAGTGGCAGTCCTAAAAAAAGACGATTCAAGTAGACAATAACAAGTAAATTTAAACTTCACTCTATTGCATGAACAAGTGGTTATCAGGGCTCAGTAGCTAAGTGGATAATGCGATGGCGTTTAAAGCGAACTGTACTGGGTTCGAATCTCAGAGTGAAAATCAACTCTGAGATTAAGGCTTATCCAGCCGACTAGTCCCAGTTAGGACGAAACGGGCGTCAAACTGGATTCAACTGCTAGCCACTATCCGTTTTTGCTTATAACAATAGTGTGGGTAAATAAGTGGTAAATGGAGTGTAAATTCCATTAGAATTGTAATTATACCTTTCTGATGAATGCTAACTGTTACAAAACCTATGTTCAAAGCTTCCTAATGAAAAAGGTGTTTGACTTGAGTGATCACGCACAGTTTACCTCTTGTTTAAAAGATAATTATCAACTATTTGAATCTAAGATCAATTTTTATAACACTCAATTCATTTCATAGAATCGAATTCAGTTTTGTACTTTTTTCTCTACAAGTTTCCAAGCATCTTTCTTTATGATGATGATGATGATGTTGATAATCTGGAATGCGTATAACATTCACGTGATAGTAGTTTATTTTTGGATCACTTTCAAATTGATCATTTAGTTAGTTAATATATGATTCTTTTGTTGAGATTTAACTTGTTTCAATTAAATCTTTTCTTAATATTTAAGTATGTTGTTTATTTGATTGTATTGATCCATTATGACCTTGTTGTCGAATGAATATTTTTATGCAAGCAGTCCTATATATATATATATGTATATATGTATATAGACTTGATGTATGTAAAGATAAAGAGATACACTTTCTTCTATGTGAACTATGACATTTAAGACCACCTACTGTTATAGAGAGAGAGAGAGAGAGAGAGAGAGAGAAAATTTCCTCAGGTCAAGTTTACTGTATCCTCCAATCATCCACCCATACACATCCCACTTCCTTATATTCTTTGTTATGTCCACTTATTGTTATCTTTCTTTCTTTATTTTTCTTTCTGTTATGACTTTCTTGTTGTTTATCTTTGGTTTATTATATATACAGATTATATGCATATATTTCATTGTTGCACTATTTATTGACTACATCAGTAAGACTAGAAGTAGTAGTAGCTTTCCTTTGTTGTCTGAACTGTTGATTGTATTTGAACCTTGTGTTTACTTATTAAATCAAGAGAATGAGAGAGAGAGAGAAAGAGAAAGGTATCCAGATGAATTAGGATAGACATGGATTTTAATCAATTTGTTAAAATCTCGTCTGGGGCAGAATAATGATAATTATTTGTGGGAATAAACTATTGTCTTGTCTATGTATACACATGAACGAACATGCAATAAAGGTAAATTAGAAAAACGTGATTGTTGTTGTTGTTTTTTCTTCTTTCATTAAAGGATTCATGTTACAGTATCGTGTGTTCACCTTTTTTTATTGTTTTATTGTAGTCTGGTATGTTATTTATGAAACTTAGAAAATAAAACCCCATGATAGCAAGTATAATAATAAGTAATAATATTGCGTAGATTTTAAGGTGATACTTTCTATGTCTGATATCAGATGAGACAATTAAACACAATTTTGATTACATCACATTATTTACCTGTTCCTTATTTAGTAATAATAAAATAATCTTAACATAGAATAGTCAATATTATATCCAGTTTATTATTATCATTATTATTATTTCATCACCAGTTACAGATACGTGTATTTTTCTTTCTGCCTCATGTTATTTTTGAGAACTAGTTAAAAGTACCTAATCGCTCCTTCTGATCTGAGCCATGTTGGTAGATGCAGACTACTTGATTGGGGTCCGTGTGACTATCGTAACCAATGGTTGGAGACTCTTGATGACATGGCTCAGAATCGATCACAATGGCGTCAGTGTATACACGTTTGTCTTCCCCTAAACTAAGAAATTAAAATCGCTTCATATCCTCCTTTCTACGAACTAATTCTTTTTTCTTGTACTATATCTTTATATGCAATCTTTCTTTTATATTTTACCACCATTGAATTAACTACTATGAATCTGGTGTTCATCATGTTGTGCTAATGAGTAAGGTGTGGCAACTTGAACCGATGTATATATGTGCCTGATCCTACGTTGTAACTGACTGACCCAATTGCTCAAAGCTAAATAGCTAGAGCAAGATTCGAACCTCTAACTGTAGTAGTTGAAACTTAACTACTAAACCATATCACTATGCATATTTAATTTGTTATTTTTCAAAAGAATTTATATAAAATTTTGGTCTAGGTTGTCAAGTGAAATGTTGGATTCATTTAAAATTTAATTAATGAAATCTTACTCATATAAGTATTGTCCATAATGTTTTTATATATAAAGGAGTCCAGTTTTACAATTATATGTCTTTTATATATCGCTAGATTTGATGCATGAACTTGTTTGTAATAGTTTTCCTAAGTAACAGACTAATTTCTAGTTAACTTATCGAGTGGATGATATCAGTGTTGTCATTAATTTTCATGAATTGAATGTTGTATACTATTGGTTACACCGAGAAATGGGGGGGGGTTAGTGGTTAATGATTCAACTTTCAAGTGATATGTTGTAAGTTTGAGTCCCCACTCCACATTGATACTGGAAACTGGTTAGTATCACTACACCTCGCACAAATTTTATATATATATATATATATAATCATTTTCCGTAGATTCATTCTTATTGCTTGCTGTTAATGTGGTTATTTCAGAGGTGATAAATGGTAATGCATAGGAAGAGAGAATTGTTGATTAATAATTTGTCCTAGTTATTGGTTAAATCATTAAAAACGTAAATGAACCAAGAAATTAATTTTACTCATCTTAATTTGAATTTATCTATACTATATATAGATGTTATAATTATGTATATTTCTCCCTTCTACTTCCCATTACTATTGTTTGATCTTATCCCCATTTTACAACTCTCTATACCACCTAATCACATCCATACATTCAATGTATATTGGCGTGCGTGCATTGACATGGGTTCGCATCCTGGATATATATACATATATATAACGCTTCTTTTAATTGTGTTCACTGTTTACCCATTATTATTATTAACTGTAGTAAATAGTACTAGTGTGTTTACCTCTTTGTTCCCTTCTTAGCCCATTCACCATTATTATTATTATTATTATTATTATTATTATTATTATTATTATTATTATTATTAATTATGGCCTTATATCCATCCATCTAGTGGTTGATTCATTCGTTTACAGCAACCTCTATCATATTGCCCTTCAATTTTTTTCTGTTTTTTCTCTATTGAAAATTTCTCTATGGAGTTGAAAAGGCGTTTTTTTCGTTCGTTTGTTCGTTTCTGCTTATACTGTTCTTATTTATTTGTTTATTTATTGCTATTTTCTTCTAAAAAATTGTTTACAAATGAAGAGACAGTAATAGAGAGAGAGAGAAATGTATCAGTTAGTAGTTAGGATGGAAGAACAGCAGAAATAAACGTGATACAGTTTTCCTTTGTGTGTGTGTGTGTGTGTGTGTGTGTGTTAGTGTATGGTAGGATCACTCATTCACATGCGTTCTTTTCTCTTTAGCCTTGACTTTAAAAAGAATCTGACCTACTGTATATATTAGTTGGGAGATGTATGTCTGTGCATGTGTACTTTACTCTACTATGTGTGTATGAGTGGTAGATATTGTTTATTCCTATTTATTCTCTGATTAATTTGTTTTTTTGTTCGTTTTCATTTTTCTAGGCTGTTTAATCTGTAAATAAATATACATTTTGTTTGTTCATTGAATTAAACTGCATTACACACTATGTGCCTTAGATATGTTTAAAAACCAGTGTTTCTTCATCTGGTTTGTGATGTTTATATTATCATTTAGATTTGTAGCTGTTGTTTATCTGTGTATATTTTCGGGATATCAGAAAGACAGGGCTATTAAGTGGTAACTATCATGGTATATCGCTGGAGTTAGAAATGTGAACTCGTTACACTCCAGTTCAGTCGCATTTATACGACACTTGATAAGTTTCAAGTTAAGACGAAACATTCATTCAATGTTCTATACACGTTTCTTAGATTATTTCCCAGTCTATGACAGAAATTAACAGTCGTTGCAAAAGAGATCTGTATATAAGTGCTGTTAATAATCAGATATGATAGAATTTGTTTCAGATTGTTTGCATTTCTTTGATTTATTTGGGTAGTTCATACCGATTATTATTATTAGTGAAAAAGTTAATTAATACCTCGTTTTTAAACTCTGATGCTGATGTATAGCATTTCTCTGTCTATCATACTCTCTACTACTTGATGTTGTCAAACTTCTTAGAATAGTCCCAGTAGTTGAATAGAACACAGTTCATTACTTTGAAAAAATCCAGTAAAAAAGAAAACAGTACAATGCATGGACCCTTGCAAATGTTTTTCAACGTACTGCAAAAACGGATTATTATACTCAGATGCAGATAGGTTTGTGTGCTTTACATTTTTCAAAGTAAATTTTATGTAAAACAAATTGACTTTATGATGTCAGTCAGTGGGTTCATCGGTAAAACACCTGACTTTTTGACCGTTGGATTTCAGGTTTAAATCCTACTTTATACACTTCAGTTTGACATCCCGGATACTGTTATTATTAGCATCAGCTTTCTTCCTTGAAGTGTGGTGTAATCTCGGGTGAACAAACATTGTACACTAAGTAATTAAATGGTATGACGATTCTTTTCATCTTGATCAATAATTAAAGTCAATAGTTAATATGACTGGAATTACTAATTTTAAGTAATCTACAATTTGATCAAGTTATTTGTTTGATAAATCATCATATTTAAATGATTTCATATTATTCTTATTTTAAGGACGTAATATGTGGACCGAATTCCGGACAAATTCCAATTGAACAACAATCTGGGAATATGGAAATGATGTTGTTAGTTAATTCTCGTCATTCTGGTACACCAAAAAGTAGTGGTGAACCATTTCCTAGTGGTACTGTCAGTCCAAGTGTATCCTGTTCCATCTCAAATCTTGGAAGTCGTACAGGTTTGAATTGCAATACAAATTATGGTCCAATTGGTAATTATGCGAACAGTACTAATACGAATAAACCAATGAATCATCCATATTTCAATTCATCCGATATGATGGGACCAAATCCAGATTCTATTACTATGAGGACAACTCCTAGTAGTACTCCATGCACACAGCATTTAACTTCTGCTAGTTTAGCTAGTTTAGCACGATTATCTCAAATGTCTGGACCTGAAGGTCCGTACATTCCATCGTGTTCAGCCTCATTTTATAATCCAACCATTGGGAATAGTCTTGGATCAATGCCTGGTCATACTGTTCACTCAAATCGTAGTGGATCTTTACCTTCCTTTCATCTAGACGGAAGTCCCGTTATACCAACGCCACCTCAAGGAGCACATCATATTATATCTCAAGGTGCACGCAATCATAACTCAAGTCCTGGAAATTGCGGCTCGAAATCACATTTATGCAATCCTAACCAATCATTATCATCGAATATGACTCCTAATAATTGTAATTTACCTCATTCTTTATCATCCCAAACTATTCCAATAAATTCTAAATTTAATTCCAAGGCTATCCCCATACAAATCCACAGCTTCAACCAACGTTACAACAACCACCACAAAATCCTATGGGCACTGTCACTAATTGTGGTTCTTCACTTCCTTCTCCAGTCCCCAATTTACCAACACCATCTCAGCAACAGCCTCCTTCGATTCAAGTAAGTACCATACTTTTGCTCTGTCTTTTTATACTTGGTGTTTTTTTGCGGAGATCGTTCAGTCTGAGAATAGTTTTTATTCTAAAGTGGAACTCGCCAGGTTTTTGCTAAACTTGTCCCTGGTGGTCTGTCGGTTCTTGCTTCTCCTTAGGTTAGGATGATATTTATCCTTGAGAGATTTGAAAACAACTGCGTTAGTAATAATGGTCTTGTTCACCACGGAGTCCAAGGGATAACTGGATGTATCCGATCATCTACAACATTTCTGTGAGTAGTTCTGGTTGTACTATCTTCTTACTATTCAGGTTTAACTGCTAGCGCTATGTCAGTTATATCATTTATCTCACTGATATTACATTCTAGTGCGACTTTGCCCTGAAAGTTTGAATTTGTTACGCTCATTTTTTTTATTGCTTTTCAACCGTTCTACTCGAAATAGTAAAACCTTAATTATGAAGTATTTCAACGATAGAAAAAATCGACCAACGCTTCAAGGTATCATCTACATTCCTGTTAATTTCGATTGGCACACATCGAAGTATTAAGGGGGACTGCTAATTCCCTTACGATTGTAACTTTTATCATCCACTGTCATATTTCAAAAGGTTACTGTGCTTGTTATAAAACTTTAAAGTATAAGTTTTTACTTCTTTAAAAGTATTGGATGTTGTATATGTGTTAAGAATTCTAAAATAGAACAAAACAATCATCGATCATTGACACGAGTCAATAATAATAATTATTATTATCGTTACTATTATTCAAAGTTTTTTGTTATAAAAACAACAACTAATGAAACAGAATTGAATGAAATTAAAGTTTATGATGAATTTTGGTTACTTAGTTAGTTCATTAGTTAAAGGTGAATAATTTTCTATTGATTTATTTTAAATCACATAGAAACTAATATGTTGATTTTAAACAACAACTAAAAAACACCTCTCCAACCACCACCACCACCATCAAGGTCATTCTTTATTTCTTAAAAAGTTTAACGAAATAAAATGTCAATATAAAATTAGAAAATTTTATCAACAACTATTTAGATATTAATGATGACTACAAGTTAGTCTATCAAAGTTACCATATTTAAAAAGAAAAATAATAATCCCTAAAGAGTTGAACGTATATATGACATCATCAGTTTGTCTATGAAACAGAGGTGTGTTTATTTTGTTTAGTTATCTTGTACTCCAAAGGTTGTTGTTGTTGTTGTCTTATTCCTATGTCACCATGTATACAAGGTAAATGTTAAGTATTATTCTCAAAAGTTTACACTTACTTTTATAATTGTCACTTGTTTGTAATATTGAGAAATGAATTTTTCTATCTATCTTTGTTGCTATCTAATGTTTAAACATTTGAAATGAATATTGGATTTAAGTCTTACTGTTTCCACATTAGAATGCCCGGGTATATTCAACTGACGATTTGTAAATTGAGACGATATATATACGTTCTTAATTTCAAGTTTAATCGTTATGTAATAAGTTAATTGTTTGGTGGATTATTTTCTCCGTGATTAAATTGATTTAATGGTCGTAGGATATATTGTATTTATTACCATACCAGAATACTTTAGATGAGGATTCAATCATGAGTGAAGCGGATGTACTACTAATTTAAGGAGCCTTAAAATGAAATATCTATTTAGTAGTAGTTATTCTCTGTTTTCAACAATATTCTTCAGCTGACGACATGATTTCATAAAATTAGTGATTGTTCACATAGCATCTGGTACGAATATGTGTCGGTTAAAGTTGTTACATTTTGCATTGATAGAGTGACTGAACAAGTTAAAAAGATGACCAGCTAAAGAACTAAAATATTTTCAGTTAAAAGTGTATATGAAAGAATACTGGAACTCAAAAAATCTACTCAGGGAGATAATAAATGAATGGATCTACACTATTGTGATCAACTGTGAATCATTTCATGCAATATCTTCAAATATCGAATAAGGTTATTGTATAAACCTTAGTCTGTATCAAGTAACATTACTTTTTTAAACTATCCGTGATTTCATGGACTGATGTCACGTCTTACTTCGAAAGCCTATACTTTTCTAACTTTCTCCTACTTCATCCCCAACTTAGGACATGACATCATATTAACTGATAATCGGACGATTAAAATCAATTTCGTAGTAACAGTAACTACATATATTGTTATTATTATTTTTCACATTTCTTTAAACAACAAAGAATCTAGTTTATATGTTGATATATTCCAAAGGAATTTGTCATTAACATCAAGCATTGTTTAGAGAGGTGGTTTGTGTGTGTGTGTGTGTGTGTGTTAATTTTCTCTCTATCCAAGTTGTTTTTAAACAGAATGACCAGATAATTATGTGAATAGTACTAGTTTAATTAAATGATTTTTCAATGATAAGAAAAATTTCCAATGAATTTTTAATTAAAAAAAACAAACAAAGTTTTTGTTACTAGTTAACATTGATTGTATTCACTTTTATTTCTAGGTGAATAATACATTTTTTAATGCACAATTAAATGTACAACAAATGAATTATCAACATGTTAGTGCACCTGGATCAACTGGTCAAATGCAAATACATTTTGCACAACAACAACCATCAACAACACAACATCCAATTCCACCACCATCATCATCTCATGAACATTTACGTTCAGTTCGACAATCAGATAACAATAATAATAATAATAATAGTAGTACAATTCGTATGACAAATTCATCAAATGAATATAATTCAAACAATCATCCATTGTTATACAATACTGATGGAGTTAATCATCATTCTCATCATCAACGTATTGTTGATTGTCCGTCAAAATCTGAAATTCCTGCAGTTATTCCGTCTAGTTCAGTAATTACTTCATCTGTTGTTTGTACACCTTTAGGATCTTCAGTTGTTGGTGGAGGTAATGGTGGTTATGGTAATGCAAGTATTCAAATTACTCCTAGAACACCACATACAATTCAATATCTTCCAACTGTTGCTCCTCAAGTTTCTAACAATCAAGGACCTTCAGGTATATTACCTGGGCCAAATCAAATGCAAAGGTCTAATTCTGTACGTGGTTATCAATATATGCCATCTGATATAGATAGCAATAATAATAACACCTCACATGTTACAGATAACTCTATTCGTCATCCTACCTTTCAGTCAAATCATCAATCCTATGCTACTAATCAAAATATTCCTGGACAATTTTATAATTCAAATCAACACCATTATTCATCATCCTCACAATCGGTTATTCCACAAAATTATCCACCTAGTCTTCAAGGTCAAAGTAAGCATTCTCAAATTACTGGTCAATTTACTGCTGGGGTAAGGCATAATGTTAATAACAGTAATAACAACAATAATAATAATAATTCAACATTTGGATGGAGTGATACAAGTTTCGAGTCAAATCCATTAGGTTCAAATTCATTGACAGGATCGTCAACTAACGAAACCAGTTTAAATAGTTTTAAATCTTCAAATTGTAATCATCAAAGTGAGTTTATATGTTTTTCATGTTATTATGAGTTCCTTTGACAATATAATTTTTATGTTAAATTTATTTTCATAATCAATTCTATCTAATTCAATTGATTTTATTGCCCTATGAAATTTGTTTTCTTTGCATTATAATAATAAACAGGTCAATTATGAAAGAACCCTAAATGCTCTGGTACGGCCGAGAGTGGGAAGAGTCAACTCTCTCACTCAAAATGCTCTCACATGGCCACGCGTATATAACCTATGCCATGGAAGTCCTACTCACTGCCTTATCGCAACATGGGTGTTGTTTACGGAATTGACAGAACGAAAAGCGAATATTCGGCGCTTTAACCTGGTTGATGGACATGGAGAGTTCACCTAGGGGAGTTAGAAAAACCTGATTCCAAACCAACGGTGCACATGATCTCCAGTATCCTGAAGGAACAAATGGCGTATGAACCAATCGTAGGTCACCAGCTACCATGGGACTGCATCTCCTTACAATGCTCCACTGCCTTGTGAATCAGACCTTTAGGTCGAAGACTCTGGGTGTGGTCCCCTAAGAAAGCCACCTTCTTTGGTTTGGGTACCCAGTCAATATCACAGCTCACACACAAACCAAGTGAGATTTGTTTGGCACATATATATTCGGTGCCTCCTTGTACCAATATCTATGTGTTCAAATAAAATAAATGAAGGACGAAAAGTGGACATCTCAATAATTAACTGAACTCAAAGTATTATAAAATTTGGTACATAGAAAAAGATAACTTATCTTATTTACACAAAATACAGTCAAGAAAAAATTGTACAAACGAAAAAGTGAATAAGATAGTCATACTAAGACGAAACGGTCGTCCAGTGCTTCCAGGTTTTTCATGGTGATCTAGCTTCAATTGACTCATGATTTCAACTATTGAAATATCAATTGTAGTAGAAAACATAACATGAAGTATATAATGGGAAATTAATCGTGAAAATTGACTACTTAATGAATAAATTACCTAACTTTGATTTAGTAGATAGATCACCGCTTTTTTTTAATATTTATCTCAAAACATTTATGATTTAAACAGTCGAATGATATGGTTTAAAGTTGATTACATAAATTATGTTCATTTTAAATTAGTTACAATCAGTTGAAAAGTACAGAATAATATTAATAAAGCTGGATATCTTGAAAATAGGACTAAGAATAAAGATGACTTTGTTGTTCAAATCGATTTAGGATGGTGTTATCATGTAAGATCAAGATCATTAAGTAGAAAATCCTGATGATCTGGAATTTTGGAATTTATTGCACGATTTAAACCAACTGTATAGTTTAAGTTTTACATAACAAACTGACTATAGTTAGCCAACGATTGTTAATCAGGAGGAACTGAATATCTGTTTCGTGTAAGTGTAGAACTCAGTAGTATGGGTCCATAGCCTCACCAAGGATTGGACTCAGAAAATACAGACCTGGTGGTTATTGAACTGACATCTAATTCTTTTTTTTTTTACATCTGTAGTTTCATTCCAATTCGCGATATTGTTCACATACCATCCATTGACAGCAGTGGTATTTTTCTGATATTATTATTATCAATGACTTTATTCACTATTATATTTTTTGTACAATACAGAATTCTTAGCACAAAGTATTTCAATAAATTTCCTTTTCTTATCTCTTGATCGATCCTGACGATAAATATTGTGCGGTTGCCAGTTAGATGTTGGCAGTTCAGGAATCGACATCTAAACAATGTTTATTCTTTTCAATGCATATTGCATGTCAGCCATCACGATGTCTCTGATTGGGCTTTTTTTCAAACTTATACAGCGAAATGTCGTAAACTTTTCATAAACGCAATTGAATAGGTTATGCGACTGATAGACATAACGATGTGTTGAAACAAACAAGAAAACAGATAACTTGTTGAAATATTCAGATGGAAGGGACAGATAGTCCAGATATTCAAGTAGGCCGCCAAAGTTTTTTTTACGTCGTATCTGAACTCCACTGGTTACGGCTTTTAAGCATATAATTATCTCTATTGTATGATGAAGGTCATGGGTTCCATCGCTCATGGAGCTATGGATGTGAACTTTCGGTGAGTTCCATAGGCAGGGTGAAACAGCTATTCAATGCTTCCTAGTTTTCATTGTTTATCTTACCAAAGTCAGTTCATGATGTGAAGCTTCGAATTCAACAGTCATCATCCTGTTTAAAAAATTAATATCTCTACTATGAAACGGTTGTTCCCAAAGACTTTGTTCCAACTTAATAGTATGCTAGTCGGCTTAGTGCATTGTGACTAGGGGGAGGGGTAGTGGCTTGTCCCATATGTCGTTATCCATAGAGATTTACAGTCCTTCATCAACCGATTTTTCTCTTACAAAATGTTACATTTGATATTAATGTTTTTAAAATACCTTATATTTTTTAAACCTTAGGTCAACCCATTGATAATCGTTTGGGTAGAAATATTAATCACTCAGTATTACGTGATGCTCAAATGAATTATTCAGCTTGTAGCAATAATAATAGTAATAATAACAGTGATACATTATCAACATCTATGTCTACCAAGATGGATCCATCCACTGATATCATATCTCATCAAATGTTCGCAAATTCATCCGATATGCCATCAGTACAACAACGTGTTCATGTGAATCAGCACTCACAACAATATCTCCGTCAATCGACTGTCAACGATGGTGCTAAACCTCAATCCTACTCCTCATCATCTACACAACAACCACAACATCATCAAGCAAGTCAAATTCATCAACAGTATTATCATCATCATCAACAACAAAATCATCAAATGATGATGTCTTCATCGTCCATGTGTGATTATTCTGGTAGTAATAATAGTAATAATAGTGATTGGAGTTCTACGAATCAAGTACAGTTTTTAATGTCGAATTCTACGGTGAATTCTACAATGTATAGTAGTCATAGTACTAATATTGTAGATAATATATCTGTTAGTGGTGCTGTTGGTAGTATGATGGAAAATTCTACAAATATAGGACATACTACTAATGCTAATAGTAATAGTAGTAGCGCAACACCTACTTCTAATAATAGTAATCATAAACGTCCATCAATGGTAAATCCTATGAATGGAGAGATGAAACATAATATTTCATTGAATTCCCATTCGCAACATCATGCCTTACCGCCTCATCCACAGCAATCTCAACAAATGATGATGGTCAACAATAATAATAATAACGGTAGTAATAATAATAGATCAAAACTGGTATCCTCACCAATCGATTGCCAATCAAATGCCGTTCACTTCAATGTCATCATCATCATCAGCATCAACAAATGCAAGTCGAGAAATGTATTCCAGTCAAATGCATAATACTAATAATGGTAATAATGCTAACTTTTCAATAAACGCATTACCACCGGTTACTGGTGGTGGTCATCCATCGGATACATCATTAGGAACAATTGGTATGGTGGATAATACAAATAATGTTAATAATAATAATGGAAATAGAAGTATACTCAGACAATCACAAGATCCTTATGATAATTCATTACCTATATCTTCTATGTCATCATCATCAACATCTTCAGCACAGCCTTATTCATCATCAGTTGTTTGAAGAGAAAGGAAAAAACAAACAATTATTATTGATCACTTAATTTGAAGAATCATACATTAAAATGAAGACTTCTACTAGAATAACAATAATGATGAATTTGGATCTCATTCTTTTCTTTAATGAAAAATACATCTATCTATCTCTATATATACATATGTGCATATTGTCTCATAATGAATAATAATGCTATTAACAAACTGTATTTGATTTGTTTCTTTTCTTTTGTAAAACAAACAAAATCAACTTATAATTGAGAAGTAGTTGATTGGTGTATTCTCCATTCTCCTAGTTTTGTTACTCTCTCTCTCTCTCTCTCTTTGTGTGTGTTCTATCATGGTCATGATCTCTCTCTCTCTCTCTCATTCACTCTCTCTTGATTGTTCAACTCCAGTTTCTTCTTTTTTGTATATATATATATCCATTTTTAACTGATATTGATCATGAATAAGATACATTTATGATTCAATTGTAACACAACTCATTTGTATTTAATACATACAATATATTTTAATTCATAATAATAGTAATAATAATAATTATTATTATTATTCATATAATTCTTTATTATAATGAATGATGAATTTTCATTCCTTAGTCCTCTATCCGTTTTTATACTTTAACATGAACCCCTTATTTCATTTATGTATACCTTTATTTTTAATTTCTTGACTTTAAATTTTAGTCTTATTCCTATTTCATTGTTATTGTCATCATTATTATTGTTTTCTACTTTGTTTCCTATACAAAATAATCGTTATGCTTTTTTTTTTAATGGGAGGATGGGGGGGGTGTATAGAATGAGGCGATTTCTGATATTGATTTCTTTTGTTTACTTTACTTGGCACTCTGTTGAATATTGTTGTCTACGATTATTACTTTCCTTATTGATGATATTGGTTAATGATTATATTAATGAGGAGAATGTAAAATTTTTGTAGTATTTGTTAATTATACATGTATATCATCCTTCGCTCAGTTTATTACCAACTACCACATTGTTACTCTTTTCTCTTTCTTTCTCTCTCTCTCTCTTTTCATAACTGCCCTAGTTACAAAATAAACTGATCTAATTAAAGAAGTATTGTTTCTTTCCTAGTTCCAGTATTCATGTACGTGTATATACGCGTATGTGTTTGTTCGTTTGTTGACAAAATGTTATTTGCCTTCTGAATTTAATGATTTCTATTCCTTTAATTTTTGTCTCATTACCTTTATAAGAATACTGAGGTAGAATGAAATCACATATTCCTTACATGTGTGTACATGTTAAAACTAGGATTATTATTATTATTATTATTATTATTGGTAGTGTTGTCATTGTTGTATGCACAGTTACTGTATAATACTTATGATACACGTGTGTGCGTGTGTCTCTATCTCTTTCCCTCTATCCTTTTCTTTGATACCCAAATACATATATATGGATTTATGATTCATTTATTCTTTCTCCTATTCTCCTCTCGCTTTTTTTTCTCTTTCTTGTATTATATTTTTAATCTATATCTATTCTTGATTATGTAGAAATGAGAACGTATCGAATTGATCATTAATTGTTTAGTAATTTCATTTGTTTCAATTCGATTTATAGAGATAAATCAATGATTGAATGAATGAATTGATTGATTGATTATTGTTGATTTCATTTGTTTACATAATCATTATTTTATCATGTTTAGAGTTTGTTGTTTAGTTTACTATCCATGGATACTTTTAATTTGAAGACATGCAAATATATATACATACGTATACATACATACATACATATTGGTTCATTTATACATTTGATACTCTATGAATTGTTTTATAAACATTCAGAACCTTTTTCTTTGCCATTATAATGATATTCTTCTTCTTATTATTATTATTCGTACGATTTCAGCGTAATTACATTTAAACGTTTACTTCTTGATATTAATTTCCTTTTTCTGAATCATTAAAAGTTGGCTAATTCTCCTTTCTGTTCTCTTAACATAAATGAACACATTGTATGTATGTATAAAATATGTTTGAAAATGTGTGTTTAAACACAAAAATACCAGTAATAGATAGGTACTTTGTATTTCTCTTACTCATTACAATGATTCTTATTCTTTCATCTAACATATATAATAAGTAATATTGATGTTGTACACAAGCAAATGTGTTTGTGTACACTTGAATGAATGATGCAGCTGATCATCATCATCATCATCATCACTTTTTTTCTCATTCTCTGATTCGCAACTAGTTCAGTGTTACACATATTCACGGATTAACATAATCTTTCTTCAATTATAAAGAAGTTTAATGGATAGTTCTTATACACGCACACGATCTCTTATATCTATTCTGTTGTTTTCATTTCCTCCACTTTTCTTGCATTCTATCACCTTTACATTTATATATATATATATATATATATACAAATACAATCCATTATCATATGCACATGCACACACACACACTTACTTCATTATCAATCTTGTTTTCATACAATTTTGACAAGAGAGACAATTTTTTGTTATCACATTCTAATACCTGTATTATATAAGAAAAACGATTATAACATGATTTTGTTGTTTAATTTTAACTTGCCACTGAATATAAATGACGGATGTTTTTTTCCCTCTGTAGTTTTGTTTGTTTACCTCTTGTTTATTTAGTGGGGTTTTCTTTACACATATCAGGATAATGATACAGTAGTACGGCCGAGATTGGAAAGAGTTAGCTCTCCTTCTCGAAATGCTCTCATATGGTCACAAGTAATACAGCCACTGTCAGAGAAGTTTTATCCGATGTCTTCTCGCGCCACGGGTGTTGTTTACGAAATGAAGAGGAAGGAAAGTGAATGTCCGGCTCTTTAATCCCGTTGGTGGATACGGAGGATCCACCTAGGAGAGTTAGAAAACTCTGATTCCAAATCAATCATTCACATCGGCTCCAATATTCTGATGGGACAAATGGCGTATGAACCTGTTGTTAGTTACTAGCTACCATGGGACTGCATGTTGTGATGTCGCTCCACTGTCTTATGGATCAGACCATTAGGTTGAAGACTCCGAGTGTGCTCCCCTAAGAAGACCACCTTCTTCGGTTTGGGCACCCAGATAGTATCCCCTCATACGCACAAATCCAGTGACTTGTGTGGCGCATATGTATTTAGTACGCGCTTCGTACCAATATTCATGCGTTTAAATAAATAGAGAGGAGAGAAATCGAAAACTCATGGTCTTAGTAATCAAGTGTCTAGCCACTTGTCACTAGTTACTCATTCACTCCAAAGTTGAGGCCAGGTCTGTTGCATTGTGACACTATCTGAAGCATAACATGTTTATTAGCATAGATGGTAGGAAGTTAGTTGACATCATGTATTAGCTTTAGCTGGGTACTGATTCAACGACCTACGATCAACCACATAGTTCTTGCGTTCGATTCCTGATAAAGTTGTGGATATGTACTATTGAGGAGCCCCACAGTAGGAAAAAAATACTTCTATAATGTTCTTCAGCTACTAATGGTTGTCTGACTGGGTTATTTCCATGATATAAACTACCTTTAAATATCGATGTTTTACAGAGCATGCAGCTGACTAATCCTGAGTATGAGGGAACGCGTTCTAGACATTACCCAGAAACATGATTAAATTTGTCAAAACTGATAGTGAATATTTATCATTCTTATGGAAAAGCAGTATAAATGGAGCAGAAGTAAAAAGTAATGATTTAACTGTTCTGACCTCTATAATTTAACAGTAGTCTACAAATTACTTTAACCAGATATGTTCAATCACACAAAAGATGACAACTAATTCATAATTGTCAAAGTGTAGTGAACAAGAACACAAGTGAGGACAATCGAATGTATTTGGACATGAAATTACAGAATATACTCAGATTTCATTGTTCTTGCATTTTCACATCAACTGCTTTCTGTTCCCGTTTTTTCCTTCTCGATCTTCTACTGAAATATATTCTATTCCTGACTATCTTTATATACTACTTATGTGGAAATAAGTAGCTCACACCACAAAAGTACCAAACTATGATGCTGTTAATTGTAATTCAACGAGATTAATTCATAGGCAGTTCTGATCTATATGGAGTGTCACTATTTATGTCCACGTGAATACGTAGAAATTGGTCGGTTTCTTTTAATAAATCTCGAATAACTTAGCCTGCGATTTCATTTGTGAATTCTTATCTGATAACATATCATAGTTTGGAAGTGAAAGATCAGTCAGTTATTGAATTATTTAGCTTATACCCCAGTTCTGTGATTGAGATACTAACAATTATTTCGTACAATTAAATGTCGTTTGTATATTAGTTTCTAAAATCATTCGATCGGGTCATTTTTGAGCAATCATGGCTCTCAATGCACTGATAACTTTTCTTAACATACAACTGATTAACTTTATCTATTCTAAGTATTCTGACTTACATAACTTCATAGGTAGAACAGCATATTTCGGTCTATAGATTGATGGTAGCGAGGATTTCCGAATTAGGATGAAGATAAGAAACACTGTGATGCGTGGGTGAGAAGATAATGATTGGTTGTTTGCTTATTTAGACTTGTAGATAGTCTGACAGGCGTTAGATGAGTTATATATTCTCCTGTGTTTATTATTATTGTTATTGTTGTCGATTTTTGATGTGGGAATATATTTACGCTCTAATCAGGCTAATCACGTGTTCTTGATCTCAGTTGTGGTGAAGTCCTATAGAATAGACACTGAGAGGGAATCTAGTGTAGATATTCGTCTAAGGTAAATTAACGTCCATTCATGTAGACGTGGAAATGCGAGCGTTATAACACATTGAATGACATCCTCTTCATGGGATTTCATCATCATACTCGCAATATTGGTCAGTATTTCCTACGACTAAACAGCTGATGTATCAGTGACATGCTATATATACATTAGCTACTAGGCGTTCAGTACTGTAAATCATGGGTTTAGTCAGTTAATATGAACAGCGCCTCATGAAACATGCTAAAGAAGTGATTATCGGTTTCGC